TAAAACAGATACCAGAGAAAAATTATTTCGGATATACTCGGATATACCCAACATATACCCAACTCGGTTTTGTAAAAATACCTTCGAATTATAATCAAATCATACAAAAAAGGAAAGAAAAAAAGGGTCAAATTCTAGGGAACACGAGACGGATTCTTCTTGTCATCGACTCAAGCAGGAGGGTAAACTCGCTGGTGCTGCGCGAACTAGGAATCGCCGGAGGAGGGTCGCGTCGGGGGTGGCTGTTCGCGGGCGGAGGGCAATCGAAATTCGGTAGGTTTTCTCATTTTCGGACTGGAAGTCGTCTGGAACCGGGAGAATTTTACAAAGTTGGGCACTAGATCTAATAACCGGTGAAACGTCTCCACCATCCGCCGGATTTTTTTGTTGAGGAGGAGGGATTTTGGTTTTTGCCATTGAAGGGAATTTTGAGATCGGCAAAACTGTTGAGCGGTTTGAGAAGATGAAGGGATACGTGTGTTGGTGGGGATGATTACCTTTACCTTTAAGTTCCACTTTTTTTGGTAAGTGGATATTTAATTTGACTTAAGTATATCATTACCATTATTAAAAATGTTAATAACGGTTAATAAGGTTTTTAGGCATAATTGAAAATCTTTTATGTGATTTAGGTGATTTTAAAAAAAGAAATAAAAGAGGTGCAAAAGTGATAAATATTTTAAGCATGACAGTATGACATGCAATTTCCTCTATATATGCTTGATCTGTTAGTAAAACGAAGCGGACCCAGTTTCTTATTCTTAATAAGCATTTCTTTTGGGCTTATAGCAGGTCAAAATATTAGGCCTAATTAGCAGGCCCAATGTAAATTAAAGAAAACAAGACACTATGTCAAGACTTTCTACAGTAACTGATCCAACAAAATAGTGATCTGGTCCTCTCTTTTTCAATTGATTTTTGGTGTGTTTTGTAATCTTAAAAGTTTTAACAATGCAGTTGAAGAACACAAAGAAGTAATACAAAATTACAAACTAAGTTGACTCATATTGTAATAGTGTATTTTACGAGTGAGTGTAAGCTCTAAAAGGCTTACATATTTACAAACACTAATTAGTGACTCAAATTCTACCTATTCATTAGTAGTTATCAAGTGATCATACATATTTAATTACTCATAAAAATAATAATCTAATAAACCTTAATCCAAATCACGTAGTAAATCTTTTTGAAATAAAGGGTATAAACGATGGTTTATGAATTCAATTAAAAATTTAGATACCTTTTTCCTTCAGTTAATTAAATAAATTAATAGAGATGTTCGATGTAAACAGTACGTGGAATGAAAAAAAAAAAAAAAAAAAATGAGGAAACACACGTTTTTCCCCTGCCTCGGCCAATCTTTAAAAGAAATCAATAAAGAGACTCAAATTTCTCCAAAAAATGATCAGATAACATGATCTTACTAAGACCAATTGCATATTATATTTTTTGGTTAAGGTTACAGTCCCGTTACGGAATCATTTTCGTTCGAATTTGTAATCGTTAGATGCACATTGTATATCTAACGGTTACAAATCCAAACAGAATGATCCGTAACAGGACTGTAGCATTTTTTTTTTTTTAGGGCTTTTATTATACATGTAAAAATATAGAACAATTGATTTTAGTTGTAGCAAAGTGATAATCTTGACAACTTTTTGTCGTTTTATTTTCATCCTTGAGCATAATCTTGCCAAATTTTTGTTCCATATATAAGTATTCAACTATTTCTAATTTTGAGTGAATTTCAAAATTATTTAATACGACTCCAATAATTTATTCTAGTTTAACCAAATAAATATTTCTAATCGCATTTATAAAATTATATATGCATAAAATTAAAACATATTACTTACAACTCCATAAAATTTAATTTGAATTTGGTTTGATAATAATAGATTCGAATATTATTAAAATTAATACATATTACTTAAAACTCCATATATGCAATATGGTAGTACGTATCAAACTGCAAATCGTTAAAAGATGACTTATTTGATATATTATTTATATATATAAAAAAAAAACATGTAGATGTATAGAAAAAGTAATTATACACTTAAAAAATACACATTTACAATCATAAATATGATAATTAAATCTGTAAAGTTGTGATATCTTTGAATAAAAACTATATATGTATTAACTTTAAAATAACATATTATTAATATCAATACGAAGTTATGTGTGATTGCTAGAAAAAAAAAGAAATATATATATATATATA